TCGTTCGCCGTGAATGATAAACAGGTGTTCATTGTATTCATACCGGTTGTGGCCAAATGGCTGCCGGCATTCGCGGCACTCAAACTCCCGCTCAGTATAGGCCATAGTCTCGTCGTCTATCAGTTCTCCATCACTCAAAGTACTGCTTCTTCCTCTTCTTGTGCGCCGTTCACTGACTTCCTTATCGACCGGTGCTGTCGATTGTGTGCGTACTTCTTGACCACTGTTCACACCGACTGTCTCTTCATTAACAGTCACTTCTTTGGCAGTATTTCTATGAGAAAATGGTTTAGTATTTCAAATGATAGTAAAAACAAAACAAAAATACATATAATTAGTTGTGGCTATTGTTCGGCTATCGGTGTTTGAAATGATGGCACCGATAGGTGTTGTGCCAACACATGACTGTTCATCTCTATTACGGTTTACTGTATTGTTCCCAATCAGTGGCGCCGGTATATAAGCCATCACTGGTTCACCACTATCTCTGTCTTCGGTTTGAGTGCTTAAAGTGGCGGCCAATGACTGTAAACTCGGATTAGTTATGAGTGGCTTAACATCGATCAGTGCCTCGTCAGTGGCGGACACATCGGTGTCTGACTGCGTGACCACTGATTGGCCAGCAGTTTGTGCCACACTATCACCCGCTGCTGTGACGGCACTATTGCCGGTAATATCGGTCATCGAGTTGTGCGCAATGGCGTTGACATCAGGTTTTATATCACTGTTTAAATCAGTCGTTGAACTAAACAAACAATCAGTAAATAACACACAAAATGACTGTCAGTTTCATTGGTATTAAGTCTTACGTATCGCCAGAAGCGCCGACCACTGGCTTAACGTCGGGATACCGTTCGGACAGCCGTTCCAGCAATGAGTCAATACGTGTGTAGTCTTCATGAGTGGGAAGCGATTGGTCGGCCATAAACTGGTCGTCGATGGCGGCCATCAAATGACCGCTTTATTCAATACAAACAGTGGTTTCAATGAATCGGTGGTCACAACCCATGGATACCATACCTGTCATCGATGAGACTTAGCTACACGTTTAGGTAACTCATGAGTTATGAGTTGTGTTAATAGTGATAAGTTTACCGTTAGTTAAACAATTGTGAAATTCAGTCTCAACTTGACAAACACACTTGAGACAAATCAGTGATATTCACACAATGCATACAATGTGAGTGAACTGTGAATCCATATGACTCATACAGTTCACAAACAACAGGTCAATAAATATATGGTAACAAATATTTTAGTGCCCGCACTCGCAGTCCATTAATGACCAATTATATGAACGCCAGCGTTAGCCCAATCGATATCATATATCATAAGTATATTTATAATTCACTTATAAAACACAACTTAATTGTGTTTAACACTAAACACTTACAGCACCGGCACTACTGGTCCTA